GCTCTTCCGCACATCTGTGTCTGTGGCATCTGGCTGGGGTTATAGCCTTTGCTTGCTGCTGCATCTCTGTGTCCGCCTCTGGCAGGTTGCTGTGATTTGTATTCAGGCCACATGCCATTGGGCATTCGATATTGTGTATGAATTCCCAAGTTGCTGTTACCAGGAGCGACGGAAGTGCACACATCTTCACTTCATATCCTAGGTCCCCGTCTGTAACCAGAGGCTTTGAGGACCCGGCTATTGCCATTAATGCCAGAGCTGATTTTAGAGAGGGTCTCTGTATTCCTTGTACTCAACGTGGTAAGAGGAGAGAAGTGACTTCCACAGGTTGCCCTCTGGCCTTGCATGTACATGTGTATACTACACACACACACATAGAGAACACATCTATGCACACGGACATGCACACTACAGACATACATAAAAATAGAAAGCATATCCATCAAACATGTGCACATTCAATTTCACAAATGAAAATGAAGAATGCATCTACGTCACAGACTAGATTTTTATGAGGGGGACATGGTTTAGGTGTGAGGTCATTGTCTCCCCTCCCCCCCCTCCCCCAGCATTGTCTTGAAGTACGATGACACAGCCCACAGACTGCCCAAGGAGTCTGTCCTAAATTTCAGATTCAAGGCAGACGTTGTTCCTAGCTGCTCCTGTCTGTGGTTTTCAACGGGGCCACGGTGACACCGAGCTTCAAAGATGAGGGATCAGCAATTGCCTGTGATTTGTACAAGTTTCAACAAATCAGCAATTGTTTGCGATGTGTACCAGTTTCAATGTGATTCTTCCCAGGATGTCAGGGGACAATTGCCCTTTGGTGGTTGTCCTGGCTTCTGCCCATTAAAGGATCCTTAGTAAGTTTGTTGAGTAAGACATCCAAGTGAACGAAGGAGGCCACAGCATGGCTTAGGAAACCCTCTAAATTACCTACCAAGCACCCTGCCCAACCAGCATGACCCTAAGTCCCATATACTGTGAAATGTAGTGAGGGGCTTCCAGCTGGGTCAGAAGCTAGGACACTGCTCACCAGAGAACGCCGTTTCTGCCCTCATGCACAACCTTCTGCCCTTCTGTACTGTCTCCCCTCCCCTCCTCTCCCCTCCCTCCTTCCCTCTTCCCTCCCTCTCCCCTTTCTCACACCCTCACCCTTCCCTGTCTGCTCCCTTTGCTCTTTGATACCAAGGCCCCAAAGTCATAAGAACCAGCAAATCATGGGTCAATTCACCGCCCACCAGAAGCACCCATGGGAATCTCTCCAAACCCGAGGACCCGGCTCATGGGATATTTCAGAATTCCTGTGGTCTCATTATCCCCCCCCTCCCCCGTGAAGCCAATTTGTTAAACATATGTAGTTTCCTGTATGCTTGTAAAACTTCTCATAAATACATTCATAAGCTATAAAAATAATCACATTTCTAAATGTGCGGCGTGGCTTGTGTTTGGGAGACACAGATTTTAGGCAAGGCATGGGCAAATTTAAATGAACATCTGGTTGAGACAAGCTAGAAAAACAAAACGAATGTAACCCCTAAATAAGGAGGCTCTGACAATGGCGTGCAGTTTAGAATGGCCTGAATGACTGCCCGTGGGCTCTTGCTCGGTCAGTGTGCTCCTAAGATAGTATCTGGTTGGGGTTTCACCAGGGCTGAAACTGTCTGGTCCTTGAGGCCTCTCAGGCTCCTGCCTCAGCCTGGCATGCTTGCCCCTTTGCCTTTCAAGGTGCCTGCAACAGGGGTCTCTAGCCTCTCTCCTAGGTGACCCACAGACCCTAGGGTGAGGTGGTTGACGGCGATGCAATGCTGACTGGAAAGCATCTGGGACAAGAGTCTCACCTGGGGAACAAACAGGCATGCACGTAGGGTTGGCCTGGACTGACAGCTCAGGTCTGGAGTTGAACCCTAACCTTCAACATCTACTAGCTATAACCTTCGAACTCACCATTCCTCGTGTTCGCAAAACAGGCAACTAACAAATGGCATCCCAAAACATGAATGATGCAGCCTTCAGCACCATGCCTGGCATGCACTCCATGTTGGCTGCTGTGGAAGAGTGGGCAAGCAAGAGTCACTGGGAAATATGAATATTTACAAACCCTTTCCAGGAAAAGGCGAAGTAAGTATGCACCCCATGAATGCATGAGCATGCGTGCATGTGTGAACATGTAAATGGCTGGCTTTAGCATTCCTACAGACATGCGCTTGTGTGCGTTTCTGAACATACATGAGGCTGCTGGCCCCCTGTGCCTTCCCTACTTGCTCCTGTCACATGCCACCCCTGCCTGCCTGTTCCCTGTGAAAACTGCATCTGGATCTGTCTTAATCAATCAGCCTACTTGTCATGCTACAACACATGGTCCATCCCTTTAGCAAGATGACCCAGTGCACACGATCAAGGCCACTCTGACCTTCCTAGACTGAACTGAATTACTTCTCCACATGGCCATGCAACAGATACAATTCATGTCACACATACAGCACACACCACACTTGAACATACCACCAGACAACACCATTTTCAACAGCATACATCACACATGTATAGGCCAACAGACAACACACACACACACACACACACACACACACACACACTGACACACATACCTCATGCTCATATAATACACTACACATAAACATACAGAGATGTCTTTAGTCGGGTACCAGGGAGTTGAGTTTGGAAGCTGTCATGAGTGTCTGAGACAGAAGGAGGTGGTAACCCAGTGACTGTAGGGAGCCTTGACGTGGAGATAGCTAGTTGGGTCTTTTCAGGCAAGGTTAGATCGTCACATCGCTGAGGAGGTGTGGGTGATGGTATTCTCATTACCTGGACTTCTATGATACCACCGGCCACCAACACTAACAGTGGCTTGCTTTAGAGAATAAGGGTGGTCACTCCCCAAAGTCCCTTCCATTCCTGCAACTCTTTAGCTAAAACCCAGTGTAAGAAACTCATAGAATTGGAAAGAAGTGAAAAAGTGTCCTGGACCAAATGCTGCCCCCTGTACATCAGAAAAACAGGAGATCCTGAGAGGGGAAACTTATCTACCCAAGTCAAGTAGACAAGGCTGGAGCCGCACATAGAAACTGTCTCATCGGCCTCTCAAGGCACCTAAGCAACTCATGGCTACGCCTCCAAAAGCAGATCCTCTTCTCTGGTCAGTGTGTGTTATGGAGCTGTTGTCCTTCCAGTAGATGAGAGAGTCATACTCGGTACTTCTTTCCTTTCCCCTCATTTGATCAAGTACCCAATTTCCTCCTAATTCGCCTCTGGAATATCAAGACTCTCCATTCCACCAGCATCTCAAATGAAAATCTTGGCTTTTGAAATTCTTGTAGCTAATGAAAGCCAGGTGTTCAGGAAGTTGTACACAGGTGCAGAGGATGTGGCAGGAGACATCTGTGTAGTTGTGCTCTTGGCAGGCAGCTGTAGTAAATGCTGTGCACACACACACACACACACACACACACACACACACTCTCATAACTCTCTCACACATACATACTCTCTCATACACACACCACTCTCATAACTCTCACACACACAACACTCTCATACACACACACACACAACACTCTCTCATACACACACACACACACTCTCATACATCCACATACAACACACACAGACAACACTCTCTCATATATACACACACATTCTCATAGCATTCATACACATACATACTCTCTCATACACACACATACACATTCTCATAACACTCACACACATACATACTCTCAAACACACAACACTCTCATACACACACACACAACACTCTCTCATACACACACACACTCTCATACATTCACATACAACACACACAGACAACACTCTCATAACTCACACACACACAACACTCTCATACACACACACACATTCTCATAACATACATACTCTCTCATACACACACATACACAGTCTCATAACACACACATACATACTCTCTCTCTCTCTCACACACACAACACTCTCATAACTCTCTCACACACACACAACACTCTCATACACACACACAACACTCTCATACATCCACACACAACACATACACACAACACTCTCTCACACACACACACATACATTCTCATAACACTCATACACATACATACTCTCTCATACACACACACTCACACACATTCACACACTAATACAACACTCTCCTCACACACAGATACTACACAGACAAGACACACACAGACTCACATACACAGACACTCACTCTCACACACACTTGAGCTCACACTCTTCTTTTACACATGCACTCTGCACTCGATGGAAAGCCAACATCTCCCTTCTTGGAGAAACAAGAAGGGATGCATGTCTCACGGCCACTCATATCCCAGCTGGAGGAGAGAGGGGCAGAGGTCTAAGAGTCAAGATGAGGAGAAGGTCCAAAGGACGCCTCGGCACTACAGGTGATAGTGATACCAGGGATTACAGTCTATGGTCTTGGGAAAGCTAAGTGGTGATCGCTATTGGAAATTGTTAATTGTGGTATTTGGGAGAATGCGAGAAGGCAAACACGGCCCGGATGGGTAATAACACAAAGGCAGGACCCAGGGGAAAGCTGCCGGCAATGAACACTTAGGGGGGTCCCAGTAATAAAGGGGGAGGCATGATGGAAACTTTAGGGTATGGGTGGGTCACTCACGTCTAAGGATGTTTTAAGACCTGGCATTTTGGCTGGCAGAAGAGAAAGTGTGGGGGTCAGTCAGAAAGAAATCGAATGTGCGAAGGGAGAAGGAAAGCTGCTCTTGGAATCTTGGTTCCCTTCTTGCTAGGATGGTAGCCTTAGGGAAGATATTAAACCCTCTGGGCTTTGCTTTGTTCATCTGTGTGACTTCTGAGGGACAGCGAGCTTCTACAAAATCCCCGTTTGATTGTATCTGCACACGGGGAAAGAGGAGGCGCCCACAGTATGTGAGGCGTCATTACCCAAACGCAATGCCTATTCACTCATCGAATTGTGTGTACTTAAAATCCAATCATGCGGAGCCAAGATGTCGGGTTCCAGGTATAAGCCTGCGCCCCTGGCCACTCTTCCCAGTACCCTCGAGCGCCTGAGCATAAGGGCCAGGCTTAAACGTGAATATCTGCTTCAGTACAACGACCCCAAACGCCAAACGCTCATCGAAGATCCTGCCTTGATTCGATGGGCCTATGCAAGGTCAACAAATATTTATCCCAATTTCAGACCCACTCCCAAGAACTCACTTTTAGGAGCCGTGGTGGCATCTGGGCCCCTCATCTTCTGGTATTACGTTTTCAAAACAGAGGGGGACAGAAAGGAAAAACTTATCCAGGAAGGAAAACTGGACCGAACACTTAATTTGTCCTATTAAATTTGGCAAGGATGACTATTCTTGCATAAATAAATCTTCTGTTAATTACTGGAAAAACAAAACAAAACAAAAATCCAATCATGCAATTCTCAAAAGACTATGGGGTCCTTATTTATTGTCCCCACTTTATAAATGATGCAACAGTCAGAGAGAGAGAGATTTAGCAACTCTTCAAGAACACAGAGTTAGCAATTGGCGGGGAGACTGTCTTGACCATGGTATCATTTTAACCACCGTGTGTGCAGCACAGCTTCATGCTAAATGGACTTTCGGGATAAACACTGAGCAGTTGATAATAAAGATTGAACAGGAAAAGGGAAGGGAAATCGATGTCACAAAGAAGGCATGAAAGTCTGTGCTGATTATTTAACTGTTTTCAACTTGATACAAGCTAGAGTCACCTGGGAAGAGGGAGCATTAATTGAGAAAAGCCTCCATCAAATTGTCCTGTAGGCAACTCTGTGGGGGTTATTTTCTTGTTTAATGATTGATGTGGGAGTGCCCAGCCCACGGTGAGAATGCCATGGCTGACAGGTAGTCTTTGATGGCACAAAAGAAGGCAGGCTGAAGAAGCCAGGAGGGAGGGGCAAGCAGTAAACAACCCTCCTCCATGGCCTCTTTTCAACTCCCGCCCCCAGTTTCCTACATTGAGTCTCTGCCCTGATTTCTCTGCATGATGCCTGTAACCTGTACGGTGAAATAAATCCTTTCCTCTTCAAGTTACCTTGGGTCATGGTGTTTATGACAGCCACAGAAGCCTAAGTGACGCATTATCAGCTGACCATGCGCATAAGTAGTCACCTGTCAGAGACAAGGAGGCCCTGGGGTGACTGATTATGAGTCCATGCTCATCTGCTGAGGCCAGGAAGATCTAGTCCCACGCTTTTGGTTAAGACAACAGATTTTTTTTTTTTTTCTCTTGCTTAATCCCAAGTAGTTGGTTGCTCAGGCGTCTGGTGGGAGAGAATAGGTGGAGTAACTGGTCCTCATGGTAGCACCAAGTGCTCTCTGGGTCTTGATGTCAGTTCCCTAGCGCAGCAGTGTTAGGTTGTACCATCAGGGTGGCTTAACACAACTGGTTCTAGAGGTCAGAAGTCTGAAACAGGGGCCTGGCCAGGGCTGTGGGGGAATGGCTGGACTCTGCCTTCTCTTGGCTCACTTGTGGCTACCAGTCAGCCTCCCTGAGTGCCTATGGCAGCTTTCTACCTCTTATAAAGACATTGAGTTAGGTCCCTTGCTGATGTATGACCTCACCTTAATTACAGTCTTTAGGGAGCCTAGTCCCACAAAATATCACATCCCCAGGCGCTGCAGTTAGGAGTTCAATGTGTCTTTTATAGGAACCTCGTAGCTGTGATACGTGACCATGCATGGCAAAGAAGCATTTCACTGTTTCCTCCTCTCTGTCCCCTGCCTCTCTACTGGCTTCTAGCAGCTATATATATGTCCAAGCTCTCAGAGGAACAGATGTAATGTCTAGAACAGAGACAAGATCCTTGACTTTTTTGAGTTTCAAAACAGGCTCTTAAAATCCACTGTAAAGACAGGCTAAGAGCCGGAAGATTTTTGGCTGATAAGAACTGGAGTTTGTTAAGAGACCAAAGGATTTGTGAGCTCCTGCAGGAAGCAGAGCACAGAGTATAAAATAAGGACACCGAGGATGGAGAGGGCACTAACTGTGACTCAAGGGTGGATTTCTAGGAGCTCAACAAAAGAAAATAAGAATCCAAGCAGCAAGGTGCTCATGAGGGAACTAAGGAGGCAGGTCTTCGTAACTGAGGAGCATAAACCACCCTCATTCTGTTCCCTACTGGAGTGCATACCCTTTACAGGCAAGAATCAAATAGAAAGGTTTGGGGTCCCCATGAAACAGGGTAGGGGAGGCTTGCTACCTCTGATGGGGTGAGTGCAGAGCCCCCATGATGAGGGGATATTAAGCTGGAGCTATCCAAATGCAGTCTCAGGGTCCTGAATCATGGTAGACCAGTTATCCTGAGTTATAACTGAGCACAGTGGTCATTTGGGATTCCATGGGGGCAAGATGGGATTCTTTCTTCGTTTAGCACAGTATTGTTCAATACAATTTGCTTATTTCACAAAAAAATAGTGTTTTAGAAATAAGAACTCTCATTAAGTCTAATAAGAAATCAATGAGACATGTAGCCACACAGCATTAGTGATGATTTAACATGTTAAACATGTTACTTTCCTGGTAGAAGCCATAGTATAGTGATATGTTATTTATGATTTATTAAAGCTTGTCTGAGGATTCAGAAAGCAAAGTCAGCCATAAGCCATAGAACCCAGGCACATACCTTTAATCCCAAAAGCGGAAGCTAGGAGGTGGTGGTATATGCCTTTAATCCTAGGACTCAGGATTAAGAGGTAGACAGGTCTCTCTGAGTTGAAGGGCACCCCGGGGTACATGAGATTGAAGAGTAACAGATCACACACCTTTAATCCCAGCACTAGAAGGTATAAAAGATAGAAGCAGGAGCTTCAGTATTCATTTAGGAGGCGTTCATTCTCCAGCCATACTGAAGACAGGAAGGCTCAGTATCAAGGAGGATGGGAAGGCATTGAAGTCTCAGGATTCTCCAGCCATACTGAGGAGAGGCCATACTGAGGTTTGGTGGGGACGGGATCATCTTCCAGTCTGAGGTAGAGGTGAGAGCTAGTGACCAGCTGCTTTGCTTCCCTGATATTCAGGTTGAACCCCAACATCTGTCTCTGGGTCTTTTATTTAGTCATGTTTCACAGTAGTTTTATTTATTTATTTTTGCAAGTTTAAGCTACAAGTGCTGTCACTTACACATTTGGGGTACAGATTCCTCCTTAGGGTATGTCCGTATCATTCACTTCATTATCTAAGCTACCCCAGAGGTCAGCACGATGTCACTGGGGGAATGGAAGTGTGTGATAAAACCACAGAAGCACGTGGTTGAATACACACACGAGTCGTTGCATTAGGAATCAAATTCGGTTCCCATGGGCATTTGCCCAATCGAGAGTCCTGTGGGAGTTTTTGCCTTATGCTCGTATGTCCAAATATAACAAACTAACCCTATTCAGCCCAAATGTTGAATCAGTGCTGGGGTGTCTGAGTGGGACATATATTTGTTGGGACATTTTCCACCAGCAGGTGCTACTGAGTATGTGTGGGTTAAAATAGGAACTGCTTGCATTTTTAAAGAATTTATTGTCAGGCATTGTTCTAAGAACTTTAGGTGTATTATCTCATTCTGTATTTACAAAGGGCCTCAAAGGAATCACACCCTGTGGTTGTTAATGTCAATTATCAGCATAGATCTAAAATCACACTGGAGATGGGTCTCTGGGCATGCCTGTGAGGAATTATCTTGATTATTCTCATTGACATGGGAAGACCTTCCACTGTGGTTGGCACTGGCATCCTGGACTCTATTATAAAGGGGCGAAGGGGGCAGAGTACATACGCTCATCTGTTTCCTGACTGTGGTGCAATCCAACCCAGCTGCTTCAAACTGCTACAGTAATTCATTCCCCTCCATGATGGACTGGAACCTCAAATTGTCGCCAAAATAAACCCTTCCTCCTCTAAGTTGCCTTTGTCAGAACAGTTTAGTAAGACGACAGGGAAGGGAACCAGGACACATCATTTCCTGTGCTTTACAGATGAGGAAGATGGAATGTGAGGGACAATTCTCTCAAAATCACACGCTTATCTATAGACTATAGACTATGTCTGGACCTGGACTATAGATCTGAACCCAGCCTGTAGACCCTATGTTCTCAACACAGTCGATAAGTATTTTGAATCCCTGGTAGTGGGTTTCTCTGACAGTGCAGTAAGCCAAATCAAGCCAAATTAAAAGTAAAGGACTAGGTGTAATGTGAGCAAAGCACCACCCCCCAAGTGATCTCAGGGAAGGAAGAAGAGAAATCACATGTGACAGGTCTACGGACTGGAGCTTAAATACCCTGTATGTGTGGTCTTGAGCAGATCTGGGGGAGGAGCAGGTGCTTGGTGGCTTTCTGGTAGGCAGCGTTTGGAGAGGGAGTGTGTGTGTGTGTGGGGGGGGGTGAGGTGTTCCAATCGGAACAACAGTGTGTTAAATTTCTCAAGGAGCTTCTGCACACCGGGAAGTCAACTCAAGGGTCTGGGGTGATCGGAGAGGAGCAAAGAGTCCCTGTTTGGGCTGCTTTATTAAGTCTATGGGTAGAAAGACCCTGCTGTACTGTACAGGAGTACTCTGGGTGCTGGCAGAGTGGGAGGAGACCATTCTCCCTTAACAGTTTGAGCAGGGAGGGTTCCCTGAAGACCCATCCGTCTCTGAGGAACCAAGTTGCTGGGGAACGGAGAGGCATTTTCTTCGGTGTTATAGCCTCCAGCGAGCGAGTTGCCCATGCTCCTGAAAATACCCTTTCACCTGTTCACCTGTAAGCAGCCCTAATTCTTCAGGCTCTTTAGGTCACACAAAAGGCAGGAACAGAAGGGGTGGGGGTTGGGAAGAAGAGGATCAGTGGGAAACAAGAGAGGGTGATGGGTGAATAAGATCAAAATACATTATACACACATATGAGGATGTTACAATGGGACTATTAACGTGGGTAACTAATATATGCCAGTGAAATAAAATCATGGAAGAGCAACAAAGATGGAAAGGTACAAAAAGAAATCCACGTTCTTATGGTTATTATTTTGGGCCAAAATCTAGCTCACTTTAACTTTGTGTGAGGTGTCTTTTTTTTTTTTTTTTTTTCTACCATTTCTCTCTTTTTGGAAATGCTGTGTTAAGCTGCTCGGCTCTCACCAACAAGCTCTCCTAACATCGTAGGTGTTAGAAGCAGTGGACTCTGCTTAGCGGGGAGCGAGGAGCACAGAGCAGCAACAAAGGAGCCTTAAAGGGAAGTCAGACTTGAGTTTCTGGAAACACATTAAAGGTTGTGCAGGTGTGCTCCAGCCTATAAATACTGCGAGCGAGCTGTCTTTCAGAGCCTTTTCTGCTAGTCCAAGTGTGAATCCTCATTAGGTTGTAAGCCCTGAATGGATTTTTGTCATCAAAG